GTGTCTCTCATGTGCTGTTCCTTGACTAAGGACCCCTCTTTCATTTCTCCATCAATCCTTATGTGAAGCCTGTGGTGGATGGACTGTTACTGTGCCCATTTTACAGATGAGAAACTGAGGTTCAGGGAGAATATCCTGCCCAAGGTCACACAGGTAAAAAAAACCTCCAACTGCCTTTTTTCCTCCCTGAGTCCTACAGTAGGTCCTGCCTCTAATCCACATTGGGGGATCTCTTCTCCCCAGCTAGCCCCAAGCTTCTTAAGGGCACGTCCCTGGGGTCTCACTGGCATCCATATGCCTGCTAGAGTCTCCGTGTTGAATGAGTGAATGAAGAAGGAATGAAGGTCACGGGGCACCTTGGGGCAGGGGAGAGTAGGAGAGGAGGCACCTTTGAAAAAGTTGACGGCAAAGCCCGCTTTGTTAATGGACCCGTCAGAGACGAACTTGAGCCAGAGGCGGCTGGATGTGCTCTTGATGTCATCGGGCTTCTCGTAGCCACAGTATCGCCCAATGAGGGTGCTGCTCTCACTGTGCCCATCACGCACCTCCAGATAGTCGTAGGCACAGCTGTCGTGGCGCTCAATCTAGGCGTCGAGGCTTCATCAGTGGAAGGGGCTCTGGCTGCCAGAGACCCACCCCAGGGAGCCCAAAGAGAGGCAGCTGTCCCAGGGAGCGAGTGCAGGATTCAAATGTCAGATCACAGGGCCGATGACCTACCTCAAAGGACTGGAATGTGAGGCCCACGTGGAAACCCTCAGACACCTGGATCCGCCAGATGCAGACTTTGCTGGGCCGGTAATCATCTGGGTAGTTGGGTGATTGAATGTGGCCATAGTCCTTTTTCACATCACCCCCGCAGATGGCTGTGGGGACACAGGATAGGGTGGGAAGGAGTGGTGAGTCAGCATGCTCTGCCCTGCTGGGGAGCTCTTTTCCCCACTCCTCCAGTCCCTCCCATGTCCCCCAGCTTTTCAGTTCCCCACCAACCCCCCAGTCCCAGGCAATCCCATCATTCTCTCTGCTTCTTCCCTTGGGGACCCATGGTCTTGCCCCTCAGGTGGCAGGAGGGATGTTCTAGGATGCCCAGAGACCTCCTATCTGACCCCTCCCGCCCGCCGCCTTCCTCAGTACCTTCGTAGACTGCAAAGAAGCCCTTTCCGACCCAATTGCTGCTGCTGCGGAATTCAACCCAGAGGCGGCTGTCAGTGGAGACGATGGGCTCAGGGAGTTTGGACCCGCAGAAGCGGCCTGCACAGACAGTGTGGATGAAAGAGTGGTGAACCCTGAGGACACCCCCTATAGAGGCCCCACCTCTCCAGGAGGCGTGGGTGCTTGGGCCCTGATCTGTGGCCACCCTACTTCACACATTCTCAAGACTGTACACCCTCCGGTTGGCTTCTGTCTGGTCCAAGGTCCAGCTTGGCTTTGGAGAGCCAGAGACCACTTGAGGGATAGGATATGAGTCTATTTCTAAGAGGAAAGGTAGATCTTTATTTTTCATTTTATCTTATTTTATTTTTTTGAGATGGAGTCTCGCTCTGTCACCTAGGCTGGAGTGCAGTGGTGCAATCTCGGCTCACTATAACCTCTGCCTCCTAGATTCAAGAAATTCTCCTGCCTCAGCCTCCCAAGTAGCTGGGACTACAGGCATCTGCCACCATGCCCAGCTAATTTTCATATTTTTAGTAGAGATGAGGTTTTGCCATGTTGGCCAGGCTGGTCTCGAACTCCTGACCTCAGGTGATCCACCCACCTTGGCTTCCCAGAGTGCTGGGATTTCAGGTGTGAGCCACCATGTCTGGCCAAGGTAGATCTTTATAATGTCCAACTATATATGTGTTCTATTTACCTTTCTAAAGAGCATATTACCATCATATTTACCTTTTCTTATTTGGTCTCTATGCAAAGAAGAGACCAAATCAGAAATAAAATCAGAAATACGATCAGAAATAAACATGGTTTTCTTTACACATTACAAACTGCCCTCACAGACATGCTTTTATTTGTTCAAATGCAAGGGATGCCCCAGGACCCTAAATAAATCCCAGAATCTGGGGACTAGGTCAGAAAATGTCCACTTTGAAATAAAAATGAGTAAGAATCAACATAAGTGGATGAGGTCGGCCATCTGTGGAATTCTTTGTAGTCAAGAATCAACTAGGAATGAGTTGTGTGTTCCTAATAAGGCCGGTGTTTCCCAACATTCAGCAAGGGACAGAGGGTGCTGGCCCAGGAATGTAAGTTATGAAAAAGAAACTCCCATCTTGGAAAAACACTAACACGTCTGCGAGAGGAAGTGTTGTAAGGCCAGCTGCTTTGAGTGACCAAAAAGAAATATTTAAATATCGGAAACTGGGGCGAAAATAGAGGTTAGCAAGATCTGTCTGGCTGTTTTAGGCACAGGCTGAGGAGAAGAGGTTCTGTTGCCCACAGAGTGGTCCTGAGCTCCTTATGATCATGTCCAGCTAGGAGGAGATTCATACAGCTCCTCGGGCTTGCTGCAAATACCCTCTAGGATCACCTGCCTCCCTTTGCCCTAATTCTAGGTTCATTAAAGCACCTTCTGTTCTGTGCTTCTGACCCACTTATTCCCACTGACTCACCTCCTGCCCCCTACCCTCCTCGGGACAAACTATCCTATGCAAACAAGATTGGGCCACGGCGCCCACTGTGCAGCCCTC